AGAAGTTGGAAAACTTTACGTTCTGAATTTACCTATATTTCATAATGCTTTATCTGTAAAAGGTATGTCTTCTGTTTGTGCTATTGTAGTTGTTGATTATGTTACTTGGCATAGACGGTTAGGTCATCCTTCTATGAATAAGATTGATGACCATTCTGATGTATTAAGGTTACCAAAAGGAAAAAAGAAATAAACCTTATTTACATTGTCACATTTGTCATATATCCAAACAAAAGCATTTACCATTTTCCATAAGACAAAACATGTGCACTGCGTCATTTGAATTGATTCAACCGGATTTTCTGGTTGTAAACCTTCATCAGTACCTATGGAACCAAATCAACAACTATCTCAAGATGATGAGATTATGTTAGAAAAGGGTAAACCGTATAGACAACTGCTAGGTAAACTATAGTATTTGACATTCACACGCCAAATATTTGTTTTGCAGTCTCTAAGCTAGCTCAGTTTTCTTCTGCCCCGACTGATGTACACCTTAAGGCTGTCCACAAGATTCTTTGGTATCTTAAATGTACTATTGGCCAAAGTCTTTTCTATGGGACATAACATAACTTTGATATTTGTGGTTTGATATGCCATGATATTGACCCGTTTTTAGTCATGGTATATTGGTGTTTTTACTACTATTTATTATATTATAGAATCTTTTAAGCATATTTATAGGTTCATGAGTATTTTGGAAGAAAGTGATGTTTTTGGAGCATTTTAGAGAGAATTGGAGAAATCACTCGATTTGGGATCGACCAAGATGATCGAGGTCGACATGGAGTGACTCACGTCGATCGACATGCACCTAGCATGATCGATCGATGCCGAAGGCGTGGAAGACCGATGCGCGAGACAAGCTAACTTGAAGCCCAAACACCACGGAATGACGATTTGACCCCTGACGCGTTTTAACCAAAGTTTATATACTCTGCCAAAGTGTTAGAGGCAGGGAGAGCGTTTTTGTATTCTTTTCACAGCAAAAGATTTTAGGATTTATAGTTTGGGAGATTAGATCAACAGAGATATTTGTGACTGGAACTCAATTGTTTTCTATCTATCTAATACTATGCAGTTTTATTACTTTGCTTGTGTTATGAATAGCCATGTCTGAGTAATTCACTTGTTAGAATTAGGGTTTAAATAGGTTAGTGAGATTAGCCCCAACTATAGGATCGCTTGTTGTGGTATTCATCAATAGGATGTTCTTAATGCTTATGTTCTAAACTTGCTAATTAGAAACCTGAATCTAGAATTGTTAGGTTGTTTAATCATCCTTGAATAACTCTGATAGTCTTAAACACATCATGATTAAGCTAGAATTTTACTAGAGATAGAGTGAAAGTTTGATTTAGGAATCCATAGTGAGTCTTTTTAACTCGCGTGTAACGCTTGACTAGCCGCATCGATCGATATTCCCATTGGAAATTGATCGACTTCGAGTAAAGTGAATCGATCGATATTCCTATAGAATAATCGATCGACACTGTCATTGATCGGACATTCTTGTTTTGGTCGATGACACTCTAATCAATAGACTTATTTATTAAATAAAATTTTAGTAAATTTGTTACCAAGCTAGTTAATGCTCTTTAATACCATTTAAACAACAAGATATCACCTATAGGATTATAATCTCCAACACCTGAATAAAACGCTAAGTCTAACACCGTTCCATTTAAGTTCAAAATCTTCATTCCATTCTTGTCGAGTAATTGTCTTTCTTAATTAGAATATTTCATATTTACTGTTTACTTTCTTACTACGATTTATTATTTATATTCACCTAGTTTTATTGTTTGATTAGATTTAATAGGTTTCATAGCTCTTTGTGGATTTGATCCTTAAGTACTGGAATATATCTCTTATTTGAGAGAGTAAGTTACTCCATAGGGTAATTTGAACATGTATCATGGTTACTCTGATTCGGATTGGGGAGGGTGTAGAGACTATCGGCGATCAGTTACTGGATATGCAATGTTTATTGGTGATTCATTGGTTACATGGAAGTCAAAGAAGGAAGACACGGTTTCCATGAGTTCAGCTGAAGTTGAATATAGAACAACCATGTGTGCAGCTACAAAGAAGTTGATGTGGGTTTCTTTTGTGCTAACTGATCTTCATATACCATACTCTTGTCATGTCCATCTTTATTGTGATAATACTACGGCATTCCATATTGCTAGTAATCCAGTATTTCATGAACGTACCAAACACTTAGAGATGGATTTTTATAAGGTACGAGAAAAGATAGAAGATGGGTTTTTGAAGACTATGTATGTAGCACAGGGAAACAACTTGCTGATGTTCTTACAAAGGCATTGTATCCGGCTCCATTTCGAGAAAACATAAGCAAGATGCGTGTTACAAACATTTTTGCACCTTCATCTTGAGAAGAGATATTAGACTACTTAGTTTACTTGGTTAAACCGGATGTAGTTTGATTATTTATATTTGGTTATTGATTTCTGGTTCACATAAATAAAATCTGATTTAGTCGGTGTATATAACGATCATGTACTCTATTGTGTGAAATAAGAAAACAGTTATACCAAATTATGTTTTACTATAAGACTAGGTGATTTTCTCATTCTCATACACATGTATAAATATTTATAAAATAAATATACTATAAAAATTGATTGCTATTTACTTTAATTTTAAATTAATTTATAATTTATATGCATAATTTATATTAATAATATTATAGTACTTTAGCAGATGATTTTAGATATGTTATATCTAATTGGTTTGTTATTTTTACTGTCGATTTAGTTATCATATGAATGTATCGGACTGTATCTATTTTTCTAAATTCAACTATAATGTTTTTTATTCTAAATATATTAAATTTTTATTAATTTTCTTATTTGTATTTAGGTTAGTTGTTGTGTTAGATACGTAAATATGTTTCAAGAAAATTATGTATAACTTAGTATATATTGTTTTTAGAATGAAATAAAAATAAATAAAGTATCTGATTCTAAATTACATAAATTAATATAACAAAAATATTCTAAAGTCTCATGCATGTATATAAATTTTACAAAATAACTGATTGCAACATTTGGTTAATATTTTATTTTCATTTGTTAATATGATTTGAGTCATCATATAATTTATATTTATAAAATAAATTATTATTATTATTATAAAACTATATATTCTTTTTGTAGTTAAATCTATGATTTTAGATATAAGTTGGATTAGGTGATTTTCCCGTTTTCATGCACAAATATAAAATCAAAAACATAAATAAACCATACTAATTAATTACAAAATTTGTTTTATAATGTATATGTAGATCTTGTATAAATAATATCATGTTGTTTTAATCTAACATGTGATTTAAGATATATAGTATCTAATCGATTTAATTATTATTTTGATATATTATATTGCATTTGTTTTTGGTTGATATTACTATAAATTCTTCTTATATATAAAAAATATAATTATAAATACATCTATTTTTATTCTAACTAAACCAAATAAGATCAGTTTTATTTAATGTGGGAGTTACGTTCTTTATCTAGGATGTGTAAATATATTTTCAGTTTTTGTATATTTGATGTTGATTTTAAAAAACCAATAAAAATTAAATTGATGATTAATATGACAGCATAAAAAAACATGACCGTTATAATTTTGAAAATAATTTATATTTTGATGTATAAACGATAAATTAAAAACTATATTAATAATTTTAAACATAAGAATTCAGATTAGTTTGGGAATTCAGATTATAAAGGAGACACTAGTTGTTAAAAATATAAATTAAAACTAGATTCAACAAAAGATTAAGAAAAAAAATTAAAGTAAATATCTATAGTTCGCTAAAAATATGTTGTCTTATAATATTTAAAAAAATTCTGTAATTATTTTATATAAGAAAAATATTTATTTAGTTTTAATTTTTTTAAAAATAAATACTCAAACATTTGTTTTATATTTAATTTTTTGAAATCATCTTATATAAGAAAAATATAAATATACTTTAGATGATTCGAGATATTTTTAATTTATATAATCTAATAAAAAATACAAAGAAATTTTCAATCAAATTTATGTTAACAAATTATTATGCAAAACATATGTAAAACACTTAGTAAAATTAGTTTTAAAATACTTTTAGTTCATAAAGAAACTTCAATTTATGTTATGTTATCTAAGTTAGTATTGATCATCTGAAAATATAGCTTGATGTAAAGAAAATATTATTATTACTTTAAAAATATATATTATGTTATTTAAGATTATGTATTAAAGGAATATATTTCTAATATTAAGATTCTTATGTGAACTTTCCTTTTTTATGAACTCAAATTATATATGTGGTATATTTTCGTTTTAAAGTTTTAATTTTCTTCCTTTAATAAAAATTTTATTGTTAAGTTTCCTTTTTTTATGAAATCAACTTATTTATTATACATATTTCGTTTTTGAGATTTAAAGTTCATTAATTAATTTTTATTTTTATTATATATATTATTTGGAAAGAAAATAAAGAAAAGAAAAGAAAAATTAAAAATAAATAAAAATTTAATAATAATGGAAATTAGATATAATATTTTTAGTTCATTAGAATATTTATGTAATCCACCATTGTGAAAATTAACGTGAGTGCGACACATAGGAAACTGACTCATGGAATAATATTATAGAGATCTGAATAAACCTTCCATCGAAATAGCCAATAATCCAAAGTGGTAAAGACTATTATTCCCTCCGTTTCACTTTAGTTGTCATTATAGGTTTTTGCACACAGATTAAAGAAACATTTAATTTTACATATTTTCAAGATAAAAACACAATTACCTATACAGCTAACCACTTTTCAACCAATAGAAAAATAGAATATCATATAAACCTAATAAATTTTGCCTCCAAACTTTAAAATAACACTTATTTTGAAACGAATTTTTCTCTCTAGAATGACATCTAATTCGAAACGGAGGGAGTAATATATAGCACATCAATTTTAAGTTAAGAAAGTAGTAAAGCTATTAAAAATTGAAATAGGTGACCCTTATTCGAGAATTATAAAATACAACAAAATAGCTGTCGTCCAGTATTTATAAACCTAACACTGCCAAACCTGACAAATCCCATCATGAAAATAGGCCAAGTACAAAACATACAGCTATCTATAATAGATACACCTTACAAAAACCATTATTACTAAAATATTATGCAAACAATTATTTACCCTCTAAGTCCAGGAACAGCAACAGGACAACCTCCAGTTCCAGAACTACCAGATATTGTGGGCCACAATGTTTAAAACGTTCTTCTATTTTAACAGAGCCAGAGACAGATATAATGAGAGGATTCAATTGATTAAACTAAAAATATGGTAATAACACTATTCAAGAATATATTTTCTCAACCGTTTTAAAAACATAACCTCTTCCTCAGAGCTATGGAGTGATCTCAAGTCTTGGTTCGAAGCAAAACCCAGTAAAGAGCTGAAGAGGGAACTTCTTGGAGACAGGACACTTCTGAGACCACTTCCAACACTTTAGCTTCATGTCAAACGTCAAAAGCGCAGGAGATCCATAGCTCTGAATGTAAACAATATCATCACTGCCACTACTCGCGAAAACATCATCCAACTCACCAAAGCCTTGGAAGAATCTCTGAGGCATTCTCGCCATTTCTTGCCACTCTTTCCCTCCACCTCCTTTCAAACACCATATCCCAATCCCTTTGATAATGTCTGGCCTATCATGTTTCCCTATCCCTCCAACGACCACAAGCCTCTCCTTGAGATTCATCAGCCTTCCACAGGTTAAAGAACACGGCATTGGGATGAAACTCCTCATCAAGCTTCCGCTAGAGGATGATAACTTAGAAGCAATCAAACCGTGGCGATGATCAGAGCCTCCTGTGGAGTAAATCAAGAAGTATAGAACATTGTTGCAGATCACACTCTCGTCTCCTCCTCTCCACCCGGTTAAGACATCAGTTACACTTGTTGTCCAAGTCATAGTTTCAGAGCTGTAGAGATGAATAGATACATCCCACTGGAAGAAATCCCCCGGAACTTGCTTCGACTTCACTATAGAAACAGAGTAACTATGTTTTGCTCTGTTCATTGAGGTAGACAATGCGGTGTAATCTGTAGACTTGTGACCTGGTGGTTCAATGAGCCTTCTCCACTGTTTGGTTATCGGATTTGAGACATAGATCTTGTTTCTGCAGTCATTGTCCATGAAACAAACCAATCCACAAGAGGAAGCAACAAACCAATTCGACGTCTCGATGCAAGGGAGATCAAAGCTGTACCATTTCTTGATAACCGGGTCATAAGCATAACCTGATGAGTCGTCAGTGCTAGTGAACATGAAGTACCAAGGACTCTGAGGAACAGAGTTGTTGGAGAAGTTCCATAAGAATCTTCGAGAAGAGACAATCTCGTTCCATCTTTTGCAGACAGTGCCAGCTCTGAAGATGCTTTCAATGGGGAGAAAGGAGAGGATTCTTTCTAATAAATCGTTGGGGAGAAGAGAATCCATTGAAAAGGTTTGGACTTTGGTCTCATCATCGCTCTGCTCAGAGTATGATTCAGCTTCAGGGACATATGCAGTAGTAATGTAGTTGTATGGATAAGTGGTCCAAGACGTTTCTGCATCCATCCTCAAAGCCACTGAAAACAACACACATAATTAACCAATAAACATTAAGAACCATAACACAATCAAATATAGAACAAAGTATATGATGATATTAGTAAAAATTCAAATCTTCCAAAATCATATTCTAAATAGCAGACCTGATTCATTTCACAAGAGAGAACCTCTTAAAGTCAGATTTTGTAAGGGAAAACAACAAAAACAAATCAAGACATAACACTTTGAACCAGATTTGCTTTACATGCATATACGTCTACTATTGCAATACTTTTTTTTTTCAGACAGTAACCAAAAGTAAGAAAAATTATAAAAGGAAAGGAGAAAGCTTGTGTCATCCTTTCAACGTCAATACTAATACAAAGATTAGATACCAATAAAAGACGTCTTTTAAAAATGGTTATTGCATACTACTATGAAATTAGGCTAAACGCTTACATCAATCAAACATCGTTAATACCAAAACCCATCATCAATTAAAGATTAAGAACACGCAACACACCAATGAACAAAATCAGAGAGTGACAGTAAAATTAAACAGAAACCCATCTGGATTCACTACACACCTTTGATTCAGGCAACTCGTGGGTCTATGAATTTTCAGAATTCTCTAGGTTTTTTTTTTTTTTTTTGTTAATTCTCGAGATTTGAACCGAGAAAAGTTGGGTTTTTTAGATTCAAACCGAGGAAATGCTGATGTTGGTTTGGTGAAAAGACCCGAAAGATAAGATTTTTCCTGAATATAAGAGATGGAAATGAATTGTGTCTGTCGGGATTTCGGATTTTTCAATGGGGAAAAAAGCTCATCAAGAAGACGAGAGGTAAATATTGTGACAAATCTGAATTAATAGAAAAAAAAGGGAGAAGAGGAAGAAAAAGAAGAGACGTTTCGGGTTCAATTGTTAATATGAATGATACAGACAGTGACAAAAGAGAGGAGCAAGCTCGCTCGAGGAAGAGAGAAGAAGAAGAAGAAGAAGATGTTCGCTCTCTGCTGTTTCTTTCTTTTTTGATGGGAAACGGGTTTAAATATAAGAAAAATGGAATGGAGTATAGGCGTGTATTTTCGTGTAACTGTTATTTAAAGAAAAGTATTTTATTTCATGGGAACTTTAACACAAAAACAATTAAAAATATCGTAACACCAATAATAATGCTGTCTTACTCATCAACCTGTATATTTTATTTATTTTTAAATACTGGTATGATTTTTTAAGCCGCGTTGTAAAGTATGAACATTATTTTAAGTGTTATGTATAAATAAATAAACAACATAACGACAAATTAAAAGTGTGGAAATAATAGAATCCTTGTAGACCATTCAATTATGTTTTCGAAACCATATTCTCGACTCGACTCCTCTTTTGGTTGTGTGATTTTTGGGGATTTTTTTTTTTGATAAAGTATTTTTTTTCTTGGGATTTGTTGTTATGTAATTTTGAATATTTTGAATCTATACTACGTAAAAATTGAAATTATAAACTACAAAGTGTTCACATAGAATTTTAAACTAATCAGAATATTATTTTCAAAACTGTCAATATATATAAAAATATATTTTACTTAAAATAAAATAGAAAGTATTATCTAATAAGATGTTATTAAGGAAATCATCAGTTTTAAAATACCATTTTTCAAAATGAGGTTATTTTAAGAAAAAATGGAAATTTTATAAAAATATTTACAATTCATCTTCTTAATTTATTATTTAAAATATACATTTATCAAAAAAGCAAATAAATAATAACCACTCCAAGAGGTAGAATTTATTAAAAAAATATTACATTTATAAAAAAATACCAAGAATAAAATTTATATAAATCAAATGTATTTATCATTTAATAGTATTACAAAAATAAACTAAATTTTTTATGAAAAAACTCGAGTGTAGAACAAATATAAAATCTATTTCTATTGTATTGTTTTTTTTTTAATGTTATCGAAGAAAATTATTCAAAAGAAATCTTCTTTAGTTTTTTTTCTTTATTATATTGTATTTTCTAAATTTGAGTTGGTTACATTTTTATTATTTTTTGTAATGTTACATTTTATAAAAATAAAATAGTTGTTAAAAAGATCTAGTTCTATATATAAATCAGATGTTAATAGTCGGTGAAAAGTAGTTGTATTGTGAAATCACTGCAAATGTATTGTAGTTAATCTGCATTGGTGCTACGTTAATGCATGAATTATTGTATTTACTAACAGAGAATACAAACAAAAAAACTCTCATCTTAAACAAAAAAAAAAAGCTTTCATTTTTTCCTTATTCTATTTTCATTTTTAGCTTTCAAAACTTTTTTTTTTGCTAACCGAGTATCCTAACCTACTGAATTGGTTCAGACTAGAGATCGAAACGATCAAGGACACTGTCAAGGTGTCACCATGTGGCTCAAACCATTTTAGATACACGAAAAATCAATGTTAAACCGATTTTGCGATTGACTTTTGTGTATTTGAATTTTTTTTTATCAATAAAAGTTAAGATTTAAAAGAGATGTTTTAAAAATTAGAGATTAAAATGTTTTAAATGAAATTTCCTGGTTTTGATTTTGATTTAAAAAATTTCAGTTGAAACCAGAAAAATTTGTTTATTTTTTATTTAGTTACTCCTCCACTCTCAGATATTTGATCCAATATTATTACAAATATTAATCAGAAAACACTAATCTGGAAGTGTGTGGATACGACTCATGCAATGTCAGTCCAACATTTTTGCATGTTCTAATAAAAAAAAAAGAGATTTTCATATTAAATATTTTGAGTTATTTGATTTTAAAATACGAAGGTTTGTAAAACAAATGCAAGTAAATAAAAAAAAACAAAGAAAAAAAAACAAAGTCATAACCCAATTCACCCAAACCGGGTAGTTTGAAACCAGAAACCAATTTATCTAATACAACATTTTTTGTATGTTTGATCTAATATCATATATATGTGATACAAATCACATTAAGAAGTTATAAACTAATTCAGTCAAATAATGAGTGGTAATAATTTTAGCAAGTTAATTTCACATCAATATTAGTCAATATTATCATAAACATTTAACTATTAATATATGTTTTATATTTTAAAATAATTATTATTTAATGATATACTTATTCAATATATTTACTAGTACAAGAGTAAAAATTATAACAATTATTATTATTATTATTATTATTATGAAAATAGTAATGATATCTACATATAAATATTAACAAATATTATTAATATGAAAAACCAAAAATATGCTCTCTAAAACTATATGTCCAGAGCGGAGCTTGAGTGGCTTGCCTTCTGGACAGGTTCCGATCTCATGTTATGGGACATTAACAAAACTTAAGACATCAAATTCTCTTAATATAGTTAAATGTGTCGATTACTAACTTGCCTAATATTGAGACGATGCAATCAAATGCTGATATATGAAAACTGTTGGTCCGATGAAAGTTGATCCTGTCAGATGCTGATACGATTGTTCCACACACATCAGCGAAAATTTTGAATTTCGATTTGAATTTTGTTTGACATTTAGTTCCAAAACTACAACTTTAGTCTTAAATAATACATATGTGACTAGTTTCTTAGATCATTTAGCTGCTAGTTTGACATACATATCTAATCATATTTGTCAGTATTTAAATTTTTGCTTAATCCATTTTAAAACGTAACAAGAAACATGAATTAAAAGAGAAAAAAATACAGTTAACTTAACTTAGTGAATTGTTGAAGGAATGTCTTTTTCTAAAGAAGTAACTAAGTAAAATCGATTAGATTTTTTTGGTCTTAAAAGGAGAAAGCCATCGAAAATTTAGAGAATCCCAATGAAGATTCTCACCATATATATTAATATATACTAGAGCTGGACCCGCCCGACCGGGCGGGTGTTTCTTATATTTATGTAATGTAATTAAATATTTTTTACACTATTATATAATCTATAAAAATTATAATAAAAATGATGACAAAAATACATCACATAGTACAAATATTACTGTAAAATTCACCCAATAGTCATTATTTTTTTAAAAATAGCAAATGTGCATTTGATCACATTATGACAACAAAATTGAGTTAATTCATAAATATATGTGAGCTAAACCTTTTAAAAAACCTAACTTCAATAAGGTAATTTAAGTTGGGCCATATTTTAATTAAATTTTGTCAAAATACCTGTTCAAATGGCCCAGCTAACCCAAATATTTTATTTTTATATCGAACTAACCCAAATATTTTATTTTTATACCGACAAGACCGTTTGTATTATGGAAAAAAAATCGAGGTTCTTTAATTTGGTGAGAACCTCATGTCCATCAAATATTCTTTTTAAACATAGATTTTGAAGGTTATCTTGAAATTTATTTATTTTTATTCAACATTTGCTTCGAATTAATTTATGTTATTTCAAATAAAAATTTTCGTCGTTATTTTAATTTTTTTTTCATATTAGTTTTCAGTTCGAAATTTTTGTTTCTACGAAATGGTAAAAGATACGCTGTAAATATAAATGTATTATATAATTATTAATATGTCAAAGTATTAATTACATAGATAAATTTATTTGTTTTATTTAAAATCAATTGTATTCGATATTGGTGTCATATAATTAAATTGACATTTATAAATAATTGGACATATGAATCTAAAATTTACAAAATGATTGGGATTATATTTATGTATCCAATTTTTTATTGATCAAGTTCTCAATTGTTTGTAAATTATTTTGGTTGTATATTTTATTTAATGAATTATTGAACTATGAAGACTAACCTGTGTCAGTAAGTTTATATACTGAATTATATAATTTATTGTGTAGTATTATATATTTGAATAAATTTTTAAAAAGATTATAAAATATTTATAATATATACTTTGTTTTATATTTCTAATATAGAAAAACTCTGGTGAGATTAATTAATAGTATGTTGCCATGTTTTAAGATAAAAATTAAATGTTGCCGTGTTTTTAGTTAATATATCTGGTCAAATTTAAATATGGAATGCTATTCAGATTTTCCTAAATTATTGTTGCCATGTTTTTAGGTAAAAATGGAATTAGGAAATGCATTAATACAAAAGGAAAAGACAAAGAATATTAATGTTAGGATATTTAATTACTTCAGTGGTATGAAATTGTAATTAAGTGGTAAAATTAAGAGGCATTTCAATAGGGTACTTCTATTTTAATAATAGAGATATATTAATGGTTAATTATAAATATCTCAATTTTATAGACAATCCAATCCAAAATATCTTAAAGTAGATACTTTAAGTTATGTTTCTCATAATTTTGAGATGTACACATTGGGAATTCGGCTAAAAAAACTCTAACTTAAAATAAATTTCCAAAAAAAACATGTATATATTGACTGGTCAAAAAAATATTGAATTATATTTGATTTTTAAACTTTAATCAGTAAATTATCTAAGGTCGTTAAGTAAAGCGACGTCGTTTTGAGATGCGATGAAACGATGAATCTAAGAACTCGGGCCAAATTAGGAGGTTTCTTGTCATTGTGCTAATGACACTTTTAAGGAAACCTCTAATATATTTTCTTTTATTAAGTATCAAAAAAAAATCTCAAAAAATCTAAATTATTATTTTTTATTTCCAAAAAATCTTAAAAATTCAAGATAAATCTGAAAAAGTAAAATTAAAAGAGAAATTACAAATATTTTTTGTTTAAAAAATCAAAACATTAAAAATTTC